TCTCAGGCTCTGTAAGTCTTATTAAACTAATAATATATGAATATAGGGATATCCCGAGTCGAAATTTTGATGCTACTTTCAAACTTTTGAAAATACTTTGAACCTATTTAGCTGACCAATATACTTATTTAAACCTACTTTGATGATTATATTCATTTACTTCTCTTTTGAACCTTTAATTCTATAAATTTTACGTTATTCTTATCTACACCGAAAAAATTATATTCTTGTAAGTAGAAGATTTTATACTTAAAAAATCTTCTTAAAGATTTTAGATGATATTCTTCTGAAATTAAGAATATATTCTTTATTTAAGAATATATTCTTAATTTAAGAATATAGTCTTTTTCGATAGTGAGATATATATGTTTTTCTATAGAGGCTTTTTATATTCTAATCAGTATATATTTTTATCAATATTATCAATATTTAGAGGATTTTCCTCTTAAGATAAAAAACTCTTCTTGGCGCCTATTTTAGTATAAAATATACTTAAAGTAAGTGGGATATCCTCAAAACAAGAATACAATTTTTTCGGTGTAACCTAAAGACACTCTCGATATTTTGGTGATTAAAGTAGGTTCTTTTTACATAGGAAGAAAACATTTTTTTAACATAAATGTAATTACCATAACATAAACATTTTTTAACATAAATGTAATATAAAATATATTTGATTTAAATATAACATTGTTTGAGACAAAAAATTGCGCGTTATAAAAATGTACTTTAAATTATAAGAATGTGAATGTGCTTTAAATATATATATATATGTATACACATATATACTTCGAATTTTAAAATTAGTTAGGGGGGTATACGGGGTCCTTCATATATATGTGATGCAAATCCAGCATTCTATATGGAGGAAAAAAATTATTTCGAAGTATATATGTGTATATATATATATATATTTAAAACACATTCACGCACAACATCCTGCGAACGGCTCTTCGTGTCCCTATATTCATATATTATTAGTTTAATAAAATAATATTTCGACAATATTTGTTAAAGAAGAAAATTTATACAAAACTTATTTTGAAAAATACTCGTCACTTTTTATGCGACACGAAGGTAAAAGGCTACGATACGTCCATTTCTTGATAAAAACTGTGGTCGGAACAAATCGTCCGATGATGGTGATGCCCGCCTTATCGAGAGATTGTCCGAGACGATTGCGGCTACGGGACACGCCTGTTGTCTACGAGTTGCTCGACAAATCGCCGCAAATCGATCCGATATCTCAGTCGTCATAGTCTGTTATACAGGAATGACGAGGATATATTCGTCGTGTTGCTCCTTTTAAACGTTTGTTCCGTCGCATTTTATGCCGCGACGACCTCGCGCGCGTACGGATTCTCGATCTCTCGCGACGGTCTTCTCTCTGGTCTTGGAACAACCGCGTCTAACTAGAAGCGTTTAAAAGGAGCGGCGCGTTTAAGGAGAGAGAGAACAATGGGCGAAAACGTGTGTGGGTGAACGTCGCGGAAAACGCGGAGGCCGTGCGCGAACAGCCTTCGATCCGAAAGAAAGAATCGATCTGTCGAAACACAAAAAGCTGCTGACCCGTTATCGAAGGCTCTTTGTGCAAAACTGATGTGGAACTGCTGCATAAAACATACACAGGAGAAACTGCTCAATCGAAACTGCGAACAAAAATTTTTGCGAAGAACAATGTCTTATGCGATATATATATATATATTTTTTTTAACGTTATTCTTGGAAATTAAACGTGAAATTAAAGTTTGATTAAAGTTTGTTTGTTTTGTTGCAGACTGAATCAAAGTTTTGCTTGTTTGAAATTTCTGTGTGTGTTTTAAAAAGTAATCATTTTGAAATAACTTTTTTGTTCATTTTTATTTGTCGAATATAAATGCGAAAAAAAAAACTAAAATTTGCTTGGGGATGTCCGGGTGCAGCCCCGGGATTTGTCTTCCGAGACATAACATCGTCTGTCAAGCTCGATATGAATCATCCGTTCGCAGACAAAGGTGGGATTCCGTTTCCTCTCTTGGGACATATTATGCTTCTAGTAACGTGTTGCAACATCACACTGTTTAAGTATACAGAGAAAACTATACAGAGAAAACTATATATACTAAACTATATATACTAATACTATACTATATACTATATATACTAAATCATAAACTATATACTAAACTATACTATATATTATATATACTAAATTATAAACTATGTACTAAACTACTATACTATATATTATATATACTAAACTATACTAAACTATATACTCTAAAAACTATACTATACAGAGAAACTATACTATGCAGATAAAACTATATAAATAAAAGTAAGGCTGTATATCTTATAAAAATGCAAACGTAAAACTTAATATAATCAACAGAAATTTTAATATATTTTACTTACTTAAAGCAATATAAAATGGCTTACAAAAAAATATATATTGATTATTTGTTCTCTGAGACACGCAAAAAAGTAGTCATAAATTCTCGATTTAAATACCGCTTGATACGTTGATACGACAATCATGTTCGCTTCTTGCGTTTGTCTTCAACGTTCGTCGTTTACCGGATAAATAATCGCTACGAGATAGAAAGAGACTTTGACACAAAAGCCCCGTTTTCTCTCGCACTTTCCTGTTGCTTTGCCGCTTCACTAGTTGCGACACGCATCACACACCACGTTAATAAAACGGTGACGGTGCGACGCGTATGTATCACGCACAACGCGTCGGCGCCGGCGTCTTCCGCGACGCGAATCGTACGACGATATAAAATAACGGACGCGAAGTGCCGCGTCTTTGTCACACGCGGGATTTCCGATTTTCCTTTCTTTCTCAACAAAGCGAGCTGCAACAACGCGTAAACCCGGAACAACAATTATATTAACAAAAGATATGTAATACGTATGTAGAAAAACCGCAACTGACTCTTCATGCTTCTTCAGGAATTCGAAGCAACTTTGATGGATCTTTTCGCAATATTAAATTTGATGAGAAAGATTATTGATCGATTTCTCGTTTTATCGATATACATATATATATATGATGCAATATGTCCCGAGTGACATTCGTGATTTGAGAAAAAAGCGTTTCGCGTATCGCAAAGTGAAGTATCGTGAAAGCTCGCACATTGACAGCATCCTATTTGTCAGTGCGCGAGATATATCGGACACAGGACACACGTCGCTCGGATAATGAAAGACGCGCTCAGTCTCTCTCTCTCTCTCACGACGAACGAGGTAGAAATTGCACTTTCGAATGCGATAAATTACGTCGAGTATCGGCGTAATTTCTGCCGCCGTCACGATTTGCCGACGTACGAACGGGTGTGTTCTCGAGATGAACGCCGACGGATGCTGCGGCAGTGATGGGATTGACGGTGCCGGAGGAGACGTGAGACAGACACTTCGCGGATTAGCGCTCGTTTGTCGAACAGAGCTCGTTTGACTTAGGATTGTCGAGAGTGTGTTATTTTGACGCAGAGGAAAGCGGACGTTTTCACCAACACACACACACAGGGTCTTCTCATCGTTTTGCGAAACTAGGAGACACGCGTTAGAAAACAATCGGACGATAGAAACAAGCGATAAAAAACAAGTTTCTCGGCGAGTAAAGTAATGATGATAGTTTAGAGGAGCTTCATCTTTTTTTCTGTTTGGCATGACATACAAATCGAATGGATCGACCGTTTCGAGTCGTGAAATATTATCAGGCGCGTTTTTAAGACTGGTAAAACTTCGGTGCAAGGACAAAGATGAGAGGGCCCTTTAATTAATAATAATAATAATAATAATAATAGTAATAATAATAATTATTATTATCATTATTATTATTATTGTTATTATTATTTATT